TACCCATAGTGATTCAAGTTGTATATCCACACCTTGAGAGTGTATATTTATTTTCAAATATTTTCTCCTTTGTATTCTTGAGTTGAGAGGGTTGAGAGACAGATTGTATTTGAGAGGTACCCAAATACCTAAGTAAATTTGCAGTGTAAGGCATCCAAGAGCCTGAAGTCTTTGAATATTGTAGTGGTTTGTCAAGTACCCATGAATACCTGGCAATATCTATTACTAAACCAAAAGAGGCTCATCGGCCCCTGAAATAAAAGGAAAAAGAAAGTAAAAAGAAAAGTCGGTATTCCAACCCTTTATTCTGCGGGAGTGATATGTTGCTCATCCAAAATGGTATTCACCACAGTAGTAATATCTAAAAGATCCTTATCCTCATCCTCGGCACCCTCATTACTAACAGGCGAAGTTTTCGTAGCAGGAGTAATAAATTTGCTATTTTCAACGTAACCATGATAATGCATCCCATTGGTCCTTCTTCAAATCCTTTTCATCTTCGTTAAGACTCAGAGTATGCCTCATTTTGTTGCGCTATCATATCATTTTTAACTTGAAGAATAACGACTTCAGATGAGGTGGTCGCGTAATTATCATGCATGAAGACGAAGGTCTTGAGCAAGGAAGCCGCCTTTAATGCATTGAGCTCTATTCCATGCAAATCTTTGATCGTATCCTTAGAGAGGGACTTGGGTTCGGACAAAAATTAGGGAGGGTGGATGATGCGTCTAAGCCCATCTGAGACACCGGCTTCTCGAAGCTCCCCATTCTTAAGACTGGAGGAGTTGGAGGCACTGACCTGAGAGACCGATGCGTCTTGAGAGCTGTCCCGAACAACAATAGGGTTAATGGTGGATACCTTGCACTTCTTTTTCACCTTTGAATTGTAAGCTGCCACCATTTACCTTTATTTAGCTTCTCGAAGAAGCTGGGACTAGTCATCGTTGGAATTGCAAAATAAAAAAGAAAATAAACCAAGATGATTAGCAGAAAGATAACGATTGCAACAAATAAGAAGTTTAATTTGGACTCAAGAAAAATATGAGCAACATACTTAATTCTTTATCGAGCTCGTCCTGATACTTCAGTACAGGGGAGGCTAAGTTGACGAGACCATGCGTTCGCACATATTCTAATAACACCTCGGCCGAGGCTAATCCTCAACAGAAAGGCTAGATTCCCTTGAATGGTAGTTGGACGATGTGGAGTTGTAATTATTGTACGACCAATAGAGGGGAAATTTTCCCTCTATCCGCTCTTCAGAAGAGAGGAACCAGGGTCGGCGCCTTTTATAGGCTACAACCTTGAAGAAATAACCTTTAAACCTCTTGAAGGAGTTGCTAAATGCAGTGAAGATCCGCTTTGACGAACATTCCTAGAGATTAGCCTAGCCTTTTCGGTTGGTTGGCTCAGACCTGGTACAGGAAGTATAGACATTGAAGAACTAAAAGAAAATATGCACTGAACAACGTAAAGTCAAATACACACATAATTGCTCAAAAGCCTTGATAATAGCCCACCCATTGGGTTGAAGTTGAGTTGGAGCTATGCAAAGATGAGACAACATGCCCATTTTAAAGTTGGTCAGTGGAAACTGAAGACCAACCTTTGTGATCAGGTCTCGGTAACAAAAGAAGAAAGAAGACTCATTTGGGCCCCGCCCTAAACAAACAGGTTCGTCCTCATCCAGAGAAAGTATGTCAATCTATCCATCTTTCTGACTGCTAGCCCAGCTTCATCATCTGAGTCCATGAAGGAGTCTGAGTTCAGAAACTCCGAAGTAATTCAGGGAAATTATTTCCTTAACTCAATCAGAGGCGGCTCTATGGAAGACCTAGAACAAAGTGAGTCAAGATCAGCTAAATATATAGATAAATGCAAAGATAAAGAGTTGAACCTAGACGGACTAGATGACTCATCAGAAATTTTAATAGGATGGGAGGCGTCCCCATCCGAACTCGAATTCGGCAACAAATGACCCAGTTAATAAGTGCAATCAACTAAGGTTGACCAAGCTAACAAATTAAAGCCACACTCAGCTAGCTTGATACTGAAAAAGCTACAGGTAGGGCAAACTGGCAATTCAAACACCCTATTTTGTTTTTTCAAACAGAACCTAGAAGCATACGAAGGCGAATCTCATCTTAAAGAAGTAGCCGAGGAAGATGAGGTAATCCCTTATTGTAGAAGTTCAGAAGGAACCATGGCCTCAGAAGGATTCGTTATCTAATAAGCATGTACAGAAGGATTCACGACCTGTGAACTTGGAGACGCAGCCCGAAGGTCCTGATCCAAAGGAGCTAATCCTCAATCCCGACTTGTAGGATGCGCTGCGTACCTCTTCCTGTTACCCCCGCTGCAAAAATCGCTGAATAGCACCATTTGCTTCTCCTCCTCGATATGATTTATGCCCTAAAGCCGAAATCTAACCTCGATAGGATGTTTCCTTATGAAGGTAGACTTATCTTCCTCGCATCACCACCACGACCACGACTTCCCGAACATGATGCTTCACCTCGCCTACTCGCACCACTCCCACTCATTCTCAGTAACTCACACACGTGTTTGAAAGAATTTAGGGGGTAGGATATTATGAATTATCTACTCAGAAATGTAAAAGCGAAACCCAAAACACCAACTCCAAAACTCCAGGAAAAGCATAAAGGCCACTAAAAGGCACTATTTTCTCTAAGAAAACCGATAGCAAAAATGCATGAAGCAAGCAAACACCAAAGCATGAAGAACAACTCAGAGAAAGAGAAAAGTGTTTGCGGGGATACCTGCTTAGAGAGTGACAAAGACCAGAAAGCTATCTAGACACTTGAAAATGGAATGGTGCAACCCTCAAAACTAGCCAAGCTTCAGGAATTCACACAATGAAGAAGAAAAACCAGAAGTTGATAGAAGGAAACTTTCGGTAGAAATGCAAAACACGAAGCAGAGAATAGAAAATGCAAAGGATACAAGGCAAGGTACGTATAATTAAACGGCTTGAGACATGAAGTTGAAAAGATAGGGGGAAGAAACGTCAAATCACAAGGGACTTAGAGTTGTGATTGAGACGTGTGCAATAGGCCATTAATACGAGCAAGGCGCCAAGTCAGCGTGCGTCTCGACTAACACACCTCCCTCCACTCAGATGTTGATACCTGTAATGGAAAACCATAGGATGGGAGATAGAAAGCTAAACAATTCACCCTAGATGCCGAATTTTTGAACAAAGATGAATATTCTTGAAGGCATAACTGATGAAAATTACAAAACTTGACAAGGATAAGCCCAGCCAATCACAATAGTGACCCCAGCCAAAACGTTTTGGGGAAAGATGCCCGAGATAGGGACTAAGCGCAACAAAATTATAATGGCCGAATTTAGACATAAATCAAAAAGCAAAGCTCTCAAGCTCGGACCAATGTCCCAAATACAAAATACGGTAAAAATAACAATGAACTCGGCTAGAGACAATTAGCAACATTGGCCTGGGAGAGCCTAAACCTGGTGCATGAAGATTGAAGATAAATGACATACCTATAATCACGAATACGACATTACCTACACCCCAGCAGCTTGGACACCCAGACTACTGGGCTAGGGAAAAACTGTTATGAGGCTCATATTCTAGAAGGCCTAGGAAGGGCAATATAAAGAAGAAATTAAAGGAAATAAAGGAAAGAATTATTAAATAATACTAATCCTAGTGCGACAACAATGAACCAAGCATTGGGCCCAAAAAAGCCACTAAAGGTCCAAAATTTCACTATACACAGGTAAACTTTATAAATAAAAAGTAAAACCGACATGTATGAGACTTACACCTTCTTTACTTGCTTTCCCTATGCACACACACACCACACCTCTGGCTACCCCGTTATTTCTTTGTGCATAGTAATCTGCTTATCTCAAAGGCATCTCCTTCATAAATACCTGAAAAAATCATAGATCCAATATCAATTCATTAGTCTTTGACTAGACATTCTTATCCACTATTAATAAGTATGCCACAAAACTTTGACTCGATTTTAACATCGGAAACTTTTTTTTTTTTCAATGTATAGTTTGATGTGTCTAGCTTAATTATATATATATAAAAAAATTATATGTAATATATATACATATTGTTTGAAAAAAAAAAAAAAAGTGGAGAGGGCGAGAGGCTATGCTATTATATATATCAAACTCGATTTGGGCGTTACAGTAAGAATCCCTTATAGTGAAACGTTTGATTTGAACCATAGATTTATCTAATATTGAAAGAAGAATCCTATTAAAATAAACTTTAAGATATAAATATTTAACAAATAAAATAGTCAAATAAAAATAACCTACAATAAAATAAATTACTAAGCTATTATAAAATTAAATAAAAAAATATTTAATCTAATTGAAATTAAGTGCATTTAATCAAACCCCACTTCTCTTATGACACTTCCCGTTTTGTCTGTATGACTTGTTATTCGTGGTTGCAAAACTTGCACGACTTACATAATCATTAACCGATCTTTAAGTTTGGACTAGTGACGGGGGTTTTGTTAGTTTATTCCATGTTATGGATTTAAATTATAGTGTTTTAGTTACGTGGTCTTTAGGTAACATTTCACTTCCCTTGTCACATTGATTAATTGATTTAACCACTATAAATTTGGATCTTTTATATTTTTCTATGACATTAAAAGCAAAAAAAAAAAAAAAAAAAAATTATAATGTACTTATCATTATTTATATATAATTTTTAAAATTTATTTTTACATTTTATTCACCTATAAGATAAGAGAAAAAAAAATGAAATGATTGAACATAAAAGTAGATAACAATGTAAAAATGTTCTGAAATAAGCATGAATCATGATTAAACTCTTTTATTATAGGAATTAATATGTTATAGGAGATATCTACACACTTATGAAAATGTGTGGTGCCCACGGGATCATATGAAAAGAGAGAAAAATTCGTTATATAGTCTCTAATCTTCATGTTTATACACATTACAACTTATCACATTTCAGAGCTATGGAGCTCTTCTCAGTTGAATCCTTACTCTTTCTTTCCCTTGTCTTTCTCTATATCTACCTTCACTTTCCGACCACAACTACAAAACCCACTATCAGAGGCTTCAGAAACTACCCTCTACTTGGAACTCTGCCTCAATTCTTGAAGAACCGACACCGTTTCCTCGATTGGAGCACCCAAGTTCTCCGTGATTATCCTACCAACACCGCCGTTTTGGCTCGCCCTGGCAAACTCGGAATCATCATGACGGCAAACCCCGTCAACGTAGAACACGTACTCAAGACCAAATTCGAGAACTACCCAAAGGGTGACAGATTCATTAGCTTCCTCGAAGATTTCATGGGCAGAGGAATCTTCAACTCCGACGGCGATATTTGGAAAGTTCAGAGGAAAACCGCGAGCTACGAATTCAACACCAAATCGCTCCGAAACTTCGTAACTGAGAATGTCACGTTCGAAATCCAAACGAGGTTGCTTCCCTTATTATCTAAAGCCTCCTCCACCAACATGGTCCTCGATTTACAGTACACGTTGGAGAGGTTCTCTTTTGATAATGTTTGCATGCTCGCGTTCAACGTCGACCCCGGAAGCCTCGCCGGCGATGGAACCACCGGTGCAGAGTTCATGGCTGCGTTTGATAACGCCGCCACGCTAAGTTCGGGGAGGTTCATGTGCGCGTTCCCATGGTTGTGGAAACTCAAGAGGCTATTCAACGTGGGAACGGAACGGAAACTGAGAGAATCAATCGCCACCGTTCACAAGTTCGCGGATGAGATCATACGGTCTAAAACAGAAGCCAAGGGTCCCACTACCCATAACCAGGACTTGCTCTCACGCTTCATAGGAGCAGAGGATAATTCCCCCGAGTTCCTCCGCGACATCGTCATAAGCTTCATCCTCGCTGGACGCGATACGACGTCGTCCGTGCTGAGCTGGTTCTTCTGGATTCTGTCTTCGAGGCCCGATGTAAAGAAAAGAATCCTCGACGAAATCGAAACGGTTCGGTCCCGGAAAGTTGGAGGCGCCGCCGGGGAAGCTTTTGGGTACGAGGAGGTTAAGGAGATGCAGTACTTGCACGCCGCAATTTCTGAGACACTGAGGTTGTACCCTTCCGTACCGGTCGACACGAGAGCTTGCTTGCGCAACGATGTTTTGCCAGACGGTACGATGATTAGTACGGATTTTTTCATAATGTATCATCCGTACGCGATGGGGAGGATGGAGAGCGTGTGGGGAAAAGATTGCACCGAATTCAAACCCGAAAGGTGGTTCGAGAATGGTGTTTACCGAACCGAGAACCCGTTTCGGTTTCCGGTATTTAACGCCGGTCCAAGAACGTGTCTGGGGAAAGAAATGGCTTATACTCAGATGAAGTCCATTGCAGCGTCTGTTATGGAGAGGTTTGAGATCGATGCACTGGATAAGGACACGTGTCCCCAGCATCTTTTGTCCTTGACTTTGAAGATAAAAGGAGGGTTGCCCGTCAGGGTAAGTTTAAGGAAGAAAGGAAACTGTGCTTCTGGGCGTAACGAGAAAACCTTTAATGATTCCGAAGCATGAGAACTTAATCATTTAATGTAACCTACGGAACAAGAAAAACACCAGAAGAATCTCTTGTGATGTAATAGTATATATACAGATACATTACTAAATAAATAATTAACGTAAGAAAAAAATGGAAACTAGACAGTTTAGTTTGAAAGTAGTCATGTAAAAGGAATGTTGCATATAGTCATGTATGGTGTTCGTTATTAATTAGAAAAAATATATATGTTGGCTTGCATGGTTGTTGTGTAATTCATGATGCAGAGTGTACGAAGATGAGTTTAGCCTCACCGGTTGATCACTTATACCAATATATAGATTAACAGGTTGTCGCTGAGTATATACATATATTTGTTTTTAATTTAGATTTGGCAAGTCCTTTGTATCTTTAATTTCTCTCATGCTGTATCAGCATATGATTACATCTGTCAATAAGGTTGGCTCACCCCATACAGCTCTAATATACATGAATCAGGATTGGAAATTCATAAAGATTGAAGTCAACTTGACCAAAAAGCCCATGAAAACAAGAACTTATAGGACTCAAAAACCCACAAAATTATGTGATTAGTTAGGGTGAATCCATGGACCATACAAGTATCTTGAAAAAAATTAATTACCCCACGGCCTGAGCCTATTTATCTTGAATGTCTCTTATACCAAAATTGTGAATTGATCCCATTACATTGTGATATGAATCGGTTTGCCTATGAAATCTCATAAATAGATTAAGTTATAACAATATAAGTGAATAATGTAAGTTCTAATATAGCTTTGTGATCCAATCATGCTCATACATGACAGAAACAATTAGATTTAAGTCATAAATACCTCCCGTCATTGCTTTCGATTGCTCCGAATAAGATGGGTTGAAGTTGTCCATAAGTATTTTGTGAGTCTTCCAAACTCTAGCTCTTAGGCACAAACAACAATAATCCAAGAGTGAGTTTAGGAACTCCAAAAGTATGAAGCCACACCATATGTATAGACCCTTACCATCAAGGTGTCAGTTAGTGACGTGCACAAAATATGGTTGTTTGAATTTTTTGACCGTTGTGTATAGTTGTTGTTGAAAAAGTGTGGAAGTGGTGGGAGTGTTTGTCGAAAAATCAGTGGAGTGGTTGGGCACTCATTGGTGCTGAAAATCAGTGGATAACTTATTTGACTTATTTTTAAAGGCGTATTAACATTCTCCCACTTAGTTCACATATTTCGTCATATTCTTTAATTCCGTCAAAAAATGGGTTATCAACGAAGGAAAATTCGACGACTTGAATTCTGTCAAAAATTTCGTCGAAAACTTCATTTTCGACGGAATTTATACGTCAAAAAAATGGACTTAATAGTGCTACAGTAGGAAATAAAATACACAAATCATAGCGATAAGTCCTCTAACACACGTGAATATTATCTTCCATATATTACATTGTGTTATATTTCCCAAGCCCATATAACTTAATGAATAAACCGAATGTTTATCTAAGTCCAAACTTTATTAATGTTTCTTAGAATAAATAATTGTAGATGCACATGAATTGAATGAGAAAGATCATAACTAAAGTTTCATAACATCATTCTTACAATGAAAATCACATATGGGAAAAAATAAGCTACATAGCTACAAAATACTCAAGACCAATTTGGGTTCGTTTAGAAAATATGGTTCCAGTAAAGCTACCTTGTTAAGATTCCACTCCAGTTACAACCCTTTGAGCGAAATACAGTAAAGCAAAAGGAAAAAAAAATGCTTATCATTAAAACTTGAGGCATAATAATATATCATGTTTTACCAATGTAAATTATACTCAAACAATTATGAATTTAGCAACATAAAATTTGCTTGTGGGCTAGAATTTTAATTAAATTAATTTCATATAAAAATATCATGATAAAACTATCAAATTATATTTCCTAATCTCTGTGGGAAAATAAAAAAATATAATTTAATATTTTATACTAATTAATCATACAAAATTATAATATAAATTCATGTGGGATGATATCTAGTATATTTTATATTATTAATTACAATTAATATCATCTATCTTATGTGATTTAGATGCCCTTAATATATAATTTAAATAGTTAAATTTGTTGTGGTTAAGCTTTAATTAATTAAATTATATAGATCACTAAATATTTTTTATTATATTATTGCAATTAATCATAAGTAATAATATTAAATAATTAACATTTCAAATTAATCATCTTAATATTACATGTATAGAATGACATGAATTAATTTGCTTACCAAAATATATATATATATATATATAATGACAAAATAATAATAATAATTTATGTGAATATATATCATTAAACTGTCATTAGTTCAGTTGACAAAATTATCAATAACATTTGCTAAACTTGATTCACGGCAACAGTAACACAACAAAATTCAAAAGTTGCTAACACTGAATCATGAATAGTAACATTTCAGTTTTTCAAATCATGAATAGTAACATTTTCAAAAATTTCACGTCATGAATAGTATCCATGAACAGTATACTTGTCGAAAAGTAAAAATAAGCAACTATTCTATAAATATGAGTTCCTATAATTAATGCTTCCCAATCAATCATTTTTACATGACACAGTTGAGTTTCCAAATTCCAATACAAACTTGACTACGTAATAGGCAAGCCAATCTGGTTTAATCCTAAGCACGTAGAGATAATTCATACCACACATGGTGTTACGGTTAAATGTCAATCTTTCAGCAGGAGATCGTGTCTGCCTTCATTTATGTCATATCCGCTTGTTCAGGTAACTGTCTCAAATAGATAAAAATTCTCTTAAATTGCTTCTGTATGTGGAAGTAAGGCAATTCATGCAGCAATTTCCTTTATAACAATTTCTGGATGGATGGTAAAAGGTAAAACCATAGAGTCAATTCCCATAACAACGATTTCAGAATGGCTAGTAAAAGTTGAAACTTTAGCATCAATTCCAACTATAGCCTACTCCACATGTGGCCATAATATAGAAGAAGATGGCACCGCAAGATAGTAAGTTCAATGTTGTGTTCAACACCGTTTGCCATAACTATCAAACAAGAAGCTTGTTATTAGAAGATATTAGGGCTATTAGTTTTATTAATAAAAATGTCACTCACTCCATAAATTTATCTAGTTTGCTTGGGACGTGTGCCAAGCAAGTGATTATCTATTAAAGATGTTGCCAAAATTCGTGATTCCACCGCAGTATTAGTTGTAGAATTTAAGGGAGATACATCAAAGATGAAAACCATGGGCAACAAAAAAATTTCATGTTAAATCGTTAAGGCAATAAATAGAGCGAAAGCGTGCCAAATCCATGCGAAAATTCAAGGAGGAATTTTGGGTTTTTGTGGGGTTTTTTTTATTTATTTATCTTCCAAGCCTTATTATTTTTATTTTTTTTGGATAACATCTTCCAAACCTTATATGCGCAATTCCTCTTCACCAATAAAGAGTTTCTCCTTTTATTAATGATGAGATATTAGAAAAGAAAACTATGCATATGACTTGGGATCATATCCTTTTATCATAAGTTTACACCCTTTCATGAATAGTAATGACTTTTGAACTTTTCTTATTTCTAATTTGCCCGATCATGAAATTAATAATAAGACTTCTGGAATCCACACATTATAATGTTCATACTTAATCCCAATAAACTTAAACCATATAAGATCACTGTAAAGGGGTCAATTCTTTAAATAACTTACAATATATGATTAATAATATATGTTGGCTCATATATGAAAAATATCTAACATTAGTTACCTAAGTTCTATGTTTGAAAGACTAGTAATTTTTTTTCTTTTTTTTAATGGGTTTGCTATTTGGTATAAACTTAAAATTAGTAAGTTTGAGTTTGGATGGAAGCCTTAGAATATATTTATTAGTCTTATTAGTAATAGTGTTGACCTAATTAACAATACAAATAAGTGCATTACGCTGTCGTATTCGTGAGTAACATCTTACAATCAATCTTATAGTAAGTAGTTAGCCGTCATCTCTGATTTCTTTTCCTTGTCTAGACCATATGTTTCAACACTTGTCACAATTGCAATCAATAGTTTCTTCCTCTTTTATGAGATTATTTTATTGTGCAAATTAGTAAATTTTTTAGGAAAATCTAGAATAAAATATGTTTTTCATATAACAATTTAAATAATTGAGTTGAAATAATTCTTTATATAATATAAGAGCCTCTATAATTAAGTGATTACGAGTTCAATCATCATAGTCCACATTCTAATAAAAAATAATTAAATAATAATTTGTGGAGCTTTTTAACACAAATAAATGGATTTGTATATTATCCACCCTTCAAACCTAATACATTTTTGTGTGAAGAGACGTGTTATAAAAATAAAATAAAACCATTAATATGAACTTCATCGAACAGTTTAAGATTTTATATTAAATTGATTACTTTACAACAATAATTTAAACATGTCCTAAATATATCAAGAACCCAATTGTTGATGCATATTTCATTTTGATTGTTTATAAGCATGAGACTGAAAGGTAAGGAGAGAGAATACAGATGGGAGAAGATGCATTTTTTTGATCTATTTAATGCTAAAAGGAAATACAAAATCCAAATAATTTGTCAAAAAATGCAATGAGACATGCATAAGGGTATGCCCGTTCAAGTGGCGTATCACCCTATGGGTGACTTCTGCAAAAGCCAATGCACACCTATCAACATATGCTCTCTGCAAGATGCGCATCACACCTGTTGCGACTTCGGCAAGTGCACCGGTCGTAAAGTAATAAAATGTATTGAGTACGAGATCATTCCCACGAGGATCGAAATTTCAAGCACTAGTTCGCTAATCGCGATTTAGTTGGACAATCGAGAATTTAGATGAAGAGAATTGTAATTGAAGAACTTAAAAATTAAAGACAAGTAATGAGATGCAATTAAAGAAATTTCAGAATTAAAAAGACAAAGATGATGATTGATTAAAAAAATGTAAAACAAGCGTAGTTAAGGTTTCGACTTCCCCCAATCTCCTTAATATGTTATGAATTAAACTGTCAAGAATCCATTCTTAATATATTGCCAATCAATAATTCTATCTAAGTTAATTAGGGCTCAATTCCTTGTTACCCTAAATCTATGTGATCTTAAAAGAACTCTAGTTCCCCGATTATTTCCCAAGAAAACATGCATTAAGATCAAGAATTTCAAGATTGCACAATTACCCTATGTCTATCCCTAGATCACAAGGATTGTGATAAATTTATCAAGTCAGGGTTCATGCACCAACATTCCTATTGTCATACAATTCCCCAAAATCATTCTATAAAG